GAGGATGCACAGGTCTCGTCGCCCGATGCTGTCGCGTCGGACGACAGGGGGAGGGTCCTACAGAGGGGGTGTGGCGGATCTCAGCTCAGCGACCCTCCCGGCGCCGGAGGCGCCCCAGGCGCCGACGGAGGCGCCCCAGGCGCCGAAGAAGGCGCCTGGGGCGGCGGGGCCGAGACCGGCTGCACATGTGCAGCGTAGCACTGTGCCCCTCCCCATGCCCTACACGGCCCCTGTCGCCCGGCCCGATGGCTCGAGCAGGAGATCGACTACAGAATTCATGCACCCCAGAAGACTTCTGTTCGCCGACTATACGAGCACACCAGCAAAACGTGACAGTAGCGTAGGTATACGGGCATTGTACACGTGCGTCGTAGGCTCGACGGAAAAAACTAATGTTATGGCACATCAATTATGTAGTCGATCTCCTACTCGAATGATGGGGTCCTGCCCCCAGAATCCCTGGGGGACCTGAGGATATAGACACGCTCCCGCTCATCGGGGGCGGGCAGGCATTCATATCCACAACCCTCCGAGGGGCCTTCGAGACCTTGGGGCACGACGCCCAGAGGCGGTGGGCTTGAACGTGCTCTGGCGGCGGAGGAAGGGGCGACCCCCTTCAGCCGAAACGGCTGCGGGAGAGCAGAGATCACCTGGCTCAAGCAAGGACGGTATCGTTGAGGGATGAAAAAACGACCCTATTATACCCTGGGTTACAAGTGCGTGGTCTGTAAACCTCCTGGGAACCCCCATAGCCTAGAGCCGCCAGGACGCGGCACATCACGCAGGGTTTACCCTGTCAGCCCACAGGAGCTTCAGCGCACAGCGCCTCGTAAACCAGGGTAGGGGCGTTTTTTATGCCCTTGATATTGGGCACGTTGGACATGCTGTGCAATATCGTGGCCTCTGGGGGCGTCCAAGAACCCACGGACACGCCCGAGCACGTCATGCTAGCGCTCGGGAGTGCGCGCCGCGCGCCCCCTGCAGTCGAGAACGGCTTCTGGAGAGCCCGGGCTCCACAGAAGTCCACTGCCTGTCGAGGAGGGGCCTGGCCGGGAGCTGCGCAGATGACGTTGAAGGGGCCCTGGGACACACAAACAAATACACACAACTAACAAGATTCCCCATATTTTCCCATATCCTCTGGGATTTTGTCTTCCCCCCACTTCCCATATTTTCCGATATTTCCTGGGGATTCGACGATTAATTGTACCTGTGTGTTTTCTCCCCTCCTGAGACGTCCCCCGCGCATGACCCGAGGGGCAGCGATAGGGGAGGGCTGGCTTCAGGGGATGGGGGCGCCACGACCTGGAAGCAGCGATACATCGCCGATAGATCGGCGATGGGCCCCCGATGGCGAAGCCGCACGATCTTTGGCCTTCGGGCCCCCCATCGGCGATCCATGGGCAATCGGGGGTCGATGCATCCCCCCTGAGCCAGTCCACAGAGGCCCCGACCGATTGGCCACTTCTCTCACTATTCGCGATGACGAAGAGACCGGCCCCGCCACCCCTCGCCGTCTGTAATTACCCCCCCCTGGTCACGTCACGACTCGCGACGGCGCCGTCTGGGAAGCGCAAGTCGCGATGTGACCGGCCCCCTTCCCCCTCCCCCCCTAGAGGAAGGAGAACTATGCACATACACCGATTCTGGCCAGGCCCATCCTGAGCCCAGGATCGGTGCATACGCCCTCTTACCTTGGCCAGGAAGGTATGTGCACCGATCCTGGGTCAAGGATGGGCGTTGTCAGGATCGGTGCATGTGCATCGTTCTCTTCCCCCGACCCCCCCGTCACGCCCGTTCTCGCCAGGGGATAGAACATTGGTTCAAGGCAGAAGCACTGGTGGGCGCCTCCAGCCGCCCTCTGGGGCCACCGCTGTGCCATCGGAGGCCCCGAGGAGGCCGCCGCGGCACAGGGGTTTCAAGGGGCAGGCGCAGGCCCGATGCTCCCGAGGCAGGCCCCCTGAGGGGGCCTGCCAAGGGGGGACCACGAGCGGCGAAGGCAACACCCACAGCCGCGCCCTCCGCGGAGACGCGGTCGCACGGGCACGTGCCGCGCGGGGCCTCCGCGAGCAAAGCGCCCCGAGGCCGCCGGGTCGCGGCCTAAGGGCCCGGCCCAGGAGGCCGCGGGCGCGGGCGTGCTTTTCGCCCACGCGCAGACCTGATGTCTCGCCGCGGTGCCGGTGGCCTGCCGGGGACCCTGGAGCGAGGACCTCGGGTTCTCCCTCTGTCTGCCGGAGGTGGGGGGGCGAGGTCGAAGTGAAGCGGAGGCTCCCACAGGGAGATCGGTGTGGTTTCGCGAAGCTGCGTGCGCGGGCGAGAGGAGTGATCCCGCCGCTGCTGCGGCGAAATCAACGCAGATTGTCCTTCGCCCCCCCCAACTGGCGGATGGTGCCTGGCGGTTGTCTCGCGGTTGTCCCGTGGCTCCCCCGATGGAAGAATGGATTGGTCATAAGATTAAGCGTCAGATACATGGCGAAGTAAACCAACACATATCAGCCACCGTGCCCCTCGGCACGGAGTGGGCGTGTCCTCAGGTAAAGGCTGCAAAGAAGTAGAAGTGCTGGTGGCCTTGCCTCTGCCGACGCGCCAGTGGCGCGAAGCCCCTAATTGATTAAAGAATTAGGCCGAGAGAGGCCGCCGCGGCCAGGCCTGGCCACGGGCAGCAGGTCAGGCGGCAGGCGTGTCCTCAGGTATTCCCCCGAATCCTCTAAGCCTCAATCCTCACTCATGAAGGGTATGGTAAAGGGCCCCGGGCCCAAATGGCCAAATCTCCCAGGGCTTCCCGTGTGCGCGCCCTGGGTTCCCCCGCGTCTGCCCGCGCTACTCTTTCGAGCCCAGGAGGGGCCTAAGACTTGCCGAGAAGGCCCCAAGAGGCCCCCAAGACGGTCCAAGAGGGCCCAGAGAGGCCCACGGATCCCACCAAGACGCCCAAGGTGGCTCCAAGACGGCCCAAGAAGCCTCGAAGACGGCCCCAGAGGCCTCCCAGAGGCCCCCAGGACTCCAAGGGCGCCACAAGACGGCCCCAGGCCCTTAAGAGGGCCCCAAGACAGCCCAAGAGGCCCCCAAGACGGCCCGAGAGGGTCCCAAGACGGCCCCAAGAGGAGCCCGAGAGGAGCCCGAGAGGTGGAACACGAACCGACAATCCCAGCAGTCCGCCTTCAGAGGCACTCAGGAGGCCCCAAGAGGCTTCCAAGAAGCCCCAAGAGGCCCCCAAGAGGCCCACACGAGGCCCCCAGAGGGCAAAAAGAAGCCCCAAGAGGCCCCAAAAGTACACACATATGCATAGTGATGTGTGCGTGTATACACATATATATATATATTGAGAGAGAGAGGGAGAGAGAGAGAGAGAGAGAAAGAGAGAGAGAGAGAGAGCGAGAACAAAAGAGCGTGAGAAACAAAAAACAACAAAAGCACGTAAGAGGAAACAAAAAAGAACAACAACAAAAAACTGGCGATGTAACCAACCCTTGCGCAACGCATGGCCAGAATAGCTGTGCAGACTTTATAAATGGGGTAATTGCGTGGCTAGGAGGTATATGTTCTGCGAGCGGTATTTGTAGGCTCGCGACGTGCGCGACTCGCAGGGCACCGATCAATGCACAAGGGCTTGATGGAGGTGATTAGTTAGTTCCCTGGGCCGAGGGGAACAAGGGGCGAAGACTAAGAGGAGATTGCGGACAGGGAGTTTGAAACGTAAGCGGGGCAGCAGCAAGAGAACATGGCAGCAACGCGAGAGTGACGACAAAAGACGACCAGAGAAAGGAAAGAGATGATGTGTCGAGGTATGCCAGCAATCAGCCCTCGAAAGTGGCGACAGCTTCGCAGTTCGCAAATCCCTGGGATGGAAAGGTCGAATCAGAATCTGCGTAAGATTCCCGCTATGTAGGAAGAATTCGATCGGAGCGGTGTCGAGCCCTAGTAAGATTATGTTAGAACTGTTCGAACCCTAATAGGATTCTATCAGAGCTGGATCGAGCAGGTCGTCGACGTAGTCATCGGTCGTCGTCGTCGTCGTCGTCATCCACTGGTCGCCGTCGTCTACCATCGTCGTCAGCTGTCCGTCATCCGTCGTTCGTCGTCCATTCTCCGTCGTCCGTTGTCTTTGTCGTGTTCGTTGTCGTCGTCGTCGTACTTAGTCGTCGGTGGTGACCGTCGTCGCCCTTGGCCGTCGTCGCCGCCCATCGATTGTCGTCGTCGTTGCCCTGCGTCGTCCGTCCTCCATCGTCCGCATCGTCACAGTCGTCGTTGTGCGTCGTTCGTCGTTCGTCGTTCGTCGTCTGACGTCCTTCGTCCGTCGTCCGTCGTCGTCATCCTCGTGGTCGTCGACGTCGTTCGTCGTCGTCGTCGTCGTCCTCGTCCTCGTCGTCGTCGTTGTCATCGTCGTCGTTGTCGTCGTCGTCGTCGGCGTCGTCGTTCGTCGTCGTCGTCGTCGTCGTCGTCGTCGTCGTCGTCGTCGTCGTCGTCGTCGTCGTCGTCGTCGTCGTCGTCGTCGAAGTCGTCGTCGCCGTCGCCGTCGCCCGTCGTCGTCGTCGTCGCCGTCGACATCGTTGTCGTTATCGTTGCCCTTGTCGTCGACGCCACTGCTGACGTTGTCGCCGTCGTCGATGTCTTCGTCGTCGTAGGCGTTCTTTGCCAGTGGCGTGTAGGGGGAGAGGGGGGGGGGGGCGACCCCCCCCTTCCCTTGAAAAAGCGGGGGGCGCCACCCCCCCCCAGTACTCCCCCCCGTTTTCCTGGGCGAGCCGCATGCTTTTTCTTTTTTTTGGGGGGGGGCGCGGCTGCGACGCATCGCGGGATGTTTCCCAAGCAAGCGTCCACGAAACGACGAGTTGTCTCTTTCTCGTTCTATCTCTCTCACTCTCTCTCTCTATATATATATATACATATATATTACATATATATATATATAAACACACAAGCACGCACACACACACACACACACACATGCGCGCACACATATACATCTATACAAACACATCCCTGCAGCTTATAGTGGAATGCTCCTTCTGGGACTGGACGCTCTTGCTCATCTCCCTGTCGCACCACTCCTGGCAGGCGGGATGCCGCCGCATAAGGCCGCACGCGTGCAAGAGCGAAAGCTGATGGTCCGCCCGCCGCGTCGCAACCAGCCAGGTGATGACGCACGTAGGCAACATTCCTTCGCGTTCAGGCGCCGCCCTCTGGCAGAGGACAACTCCCTGGCCCAGACAGCGAAACGTGGCCATCTTCGCGCCCCTGCAAGCATCCACCAAAAAGGCTTCGCCCAGAATGCGTCACGAGTCAATCCCAGAGCCCCTCCGATGGTCTGTCCTGGCCAGGTCTTCGAGCCACGACGGCCCCCTGGGAGGCCCAAACAGGCCAAGGAGCGGTGGCGCACCAGCTGTGAATGCGGGCGTCGCGCAGGAGGGCGTGGTGGGCCGCATGGCTGCGGGCCTCTGGTCGGAGGTGGGGGCCGAGAGGAAGGGGGGGGCGCGAGACGACCCCGCTGGCGGAGGAGTCCCCTCTGCTGGCTGATATACTGTGGTCCCGCAGCCTGCCTTGGTGGAGGGCTTGACGTAGGAGAGGAGCCGGCGCCCCCGAGGAATCCGGCGAAGTGGCGCAGATCAAAAACGACCTCGCCCTCCATGAGTGCAAAAGCCAAACGCGCAACCGTCGCCACCTTGCTCCGCCCCTGAGGGGTCCAGCGGAGTGGTTGTTGGATGGGCCCGTCGATGGTCGAGGCGCCCTAGGTCGTTGTCAGAAATTGCAGGAGGAGAACGGAGTAAACTCAGCCAGAAAAACGGTTGCGGTTTCGCTTCCTGTCGCACGTGCAGATGAGGCGAAGCTGCGCGGGGGCGACATTGTGCAGGCCGAGGCCAGGACTAAGACGGACCAACAGTCTCTGTCCCCGTCTCGCGGGATTCGAAAAAGTCTGGCCGAAACGTAAATCCAAGTGATCGAAGTGCAAGCTACTCACCCTACACAAGCTCTTTCTCACCTGGGGGGTCGTCTATGATATATGATGTTCACAGTATTCGCACAGCTTGAATCCTTGTGCTTGGCCTCCTCGTTCTGCTGGTCCTGCAGCTTCGCCAGCATGCTGCTGATCATGTCCTTCACCTTGTCGAAGGGATCGGCCTGGCCAGGGGTGCGATGTCAGCAGGGCACAAAAAGACTCGTCGTCGTCGGTCGTGACGACTCGAACGGAGTTTCGGCACGTTCGGCTTGTGAAGCCCTTTTTTCGAGACCTGGGACTATCAACAGTCGGTCAGGTCTGAAAAACGACCCGGATGTAACCCAGGAGAGGTCCTAGAGGCCCGATGGATGGGGTCGGCAGGAGTAGATTGGGTCGGAGGCTCGCGCCGCATCGCCGATACATCGGCGATGCATCGGCGATGCATCAGCGATGCATCGGCGATGTGTCGGCGATGCGTCGGCGAAGCATCGGCGACGTCGGCATCGAGAGACTCGGGCGCCACATCGCTGCTGCATCGCCGGCGCATCGGCGATGCGGCGCGGTCCTCCGACCCCATCTGCTCCGACCCCATCCAGGAGGCCCAGAGGTCCAGGGACCGAGCTCGAGCGGAGCCTGCTCGTGGTGAGAGTGCCGGGGGCGGGAGAGGGGGGCCCAGGCCCCCTCGCGCCGTGGACGTAGAAAAAACACGGCGGGAGCTGCTTTCGTCGTTCTCTGCGTCTGGGGGGGGGCACTCCCTGGGCCTCCCCCCCCCAAAAAGACAGCTCGGGGTGAACACCTCTAGTCCCTGGCAGGGGGTCGAGCTCCCCGAGGATCCACCCGGTGGAGAGGGGAAGCTCTGCGACTCCTTGAGAGCCTTACTTTTTTTTCTATGTTTCGCGAGGACGCCCGTGACCGGGCCCGCCTCCCCCCCCCCTCCCCGTCACTGGTCACGGCACGATCGGCACTGGCGCCGTCTGGGAGCCAGCCATTCCTATCTCTACTCCCTGGCAGGACCAGCGCAAACCGCGACGTGGTCGGCCACCTCGATCCCCCCGTCCCCCCTCCCAGTCATGCCCGCTATCGCCAGCGGATCCATAACAGAAACCGTGGCTTACGGTTGGAAGGTCCCTAGCTGGCTGGGTCGGAAGGTCCCCAGGTGGCTGGGTATCACAGGAGCACCTCCAGGTGCCCCCAAGAGCACTCCAAGAGGCCAGACCTCGCGTGCCGGCGGAATGGCGCGGGCCACTTGAGCGACTTGAACCGGCAGATCTCGCGCAAGATGACGCAGCTTACGCGGGCCGCCAGCGTGGCACACCGCGTGGAGTAAAAAGGCGCTCACGCGCGACCATTACGCGGGAAGCTCACGCGCGGATGCCCGCGCGGTCGAACACGTTGCTCTGCGTCGCTCACTCGGATGATCCATATCCTTTTCGGGCGGCGCGCCCCGGGGGGAAAGCAAGACGGGGCGGGCCTTCTCAGAGGGCTCGGTAGTCCCCTGGCCTCCTGCGAAGTTCCTGGGGCCTTCCCCGGAGACACAGAGAACCTCTCCCTCGGAAGGCGCGAGGGCTTCTGGGAGGTCCCGCCGCCTTCCGAGAAGACCTTCTCCTTCTCGCTTCCCCCCCTCGCTCGCCGCCGATGTTTGAGGCTGGAAGGCCCGCAGGCGGCCGTGCATCGCAGGAGCACCCACCAGGCTATGTGTGCGGCGTGCGGCGCCCTGGAGCGCGGCGTGTGGCGCCCCGCCGAGCCGCCGTGGGCCCGAGGCGGCCGTGGATGCGATGGCGCAGCCACCGCTCGCCATCGCTCGGACGTCCATTCCCCGTGCACGTTTCGGTTTCGTGCGCGCATTTTCCCAAAATGATTCAAAATCATCCTTGATGGTCCTCGCCGAGGGAAACATGCACATGTCCGAGCGATGCCGAGACCACAGTCGAGCGACGAACGGAAAACGGGTCTAGCGGGAGATGGCACAGCGATCTTACGCGGCGGCTGACGCGGGCCGCCAGCGCGGCACGCCTCATCGGAGACGAGGGCGCTCACGCGCGTCCTTACGCGGGCAGCGTACGCGCCAATGTCGCTGCAGACGACCACGTCTCCTTGCGCTGCTCAGTTGGTCTCTGAGCACCGTCGGGTTGCCCCCATCGGGGTGGGCCTGGGGACCTGCTAGGACAAGGGGAGGGAGAGGAGGAGGGAGGAGGAAGGAGGGAGGGAAGAGCTAGGGAGAAGGGAGGGAGGGAGGGAGGGAGGGAGGGAGGGAGGAGGCATGAGGACCCAGCAGGGCAAGTCAAAGAGTGCCGAACCCACCTTGCTGAGACGAGAGGGAGAAGGGAGGAAGAAGAGAGGAGGGAGGAGTGAGAGAGGGGGAGGGATGAAGAGAGAGAGAGAGAGAAGGGAGGGGGCCGCAAGGAAGCGACAGATGGGAAGGAAGCAGGGAGCAGAGAGGGATCGTGGAGGAGGAGGGATGACGGAGGAGGGACGAGTGAGGAGGAGGGAAGGCCGAGGAGTTGCGAGCAGGGAGGAGAGAGTAGGATGGATGAGGACGGATTAGTTCGTGCCGCTGTTGTTTTCTGTCCTGCCACGCTCCGAGGGAAGAGTGGCGGTTCAGAGAGGAGACGGCAAAAAAGGGAGAGGCGAGAGGAGGAGAGGCAAAGAGAGAGGAGACACATACCGCCGGCGTGTTTGGTCGTTCGCCCTGCAGGCTCCGGACCCCTCCACTGCGAGAGGTGCCCCCCCCTCGAAGGACGAGCACCTTTCGATGGACCCGCCCCATCCAGCGAGAGCCCACGCTCGAGAGGAGGAGCTCTGCTGCCGTCCTGCTGGGGAGGACGGGGGGGGGGACACGACGATGGCAGCACCACAGCTCCAGAGCAGGTGTCCAGCGAGCGCCCCCGTGCGGAAGAGGAGCCGCCTCCCGTTCTTTTCGAGGGCAGGAGTGAAGGGGCCCCAGGACACACAAATAAATACACACATAAAACTATTCCCCATATTTTCTCATATTTTCTGGGTTTCTGTCTTCCCCCCAGATTAATTGTGTCTGTGTGTTTTTTCCTCTCCTGAAGGAGAGCCACCCCGATTAAAAACCACGCCGGCGCGCGGAGCGCCGTTGAGCACACGCACCCGAAAGCAGGAATCGAGCAGGGCAGGGCAGGGCGGTGTAGTGAACGCCCAGGGCCGTTCTGCAGACGCCGCTCGTCTTGATGGGACTGATTTCCACCACCACTACCATATGTTGGAGAAGGAGGAGGAGGAGGAGAAAGAAGAGGAGGAGGAGGACCTGTCCCTCCAACCCATGGTAGTGGTGGTGGAAACCAAGCCCATCATGTCTGGTCCGCTCGGCGTCTCCTCCCTGGAGTTCGGTGCAGCGGGCGCGCATGCGCACGGCGCCGGCCGTGCGTCCGGGCGGGGTCGCACGGGAGAGCCCCACGCCGGAGAGGAGCCGCCCCCCGTCCGTGCAGCTGGTGCACTCAGGCAGTGGCGAAGCGTCCCGGCTCGCCCATAGCCATACCCGACAATGCTCTAAGAACCTTCTGGTGGTTTCCACGAAATGGTCTTGGAACATTTCTGGCGGAGCCTGTGTCGTTTTATCACATCGGGTTTATGTTCTAAGATCATCGTTTCTGTTCTTAGGACATTGTTGGGTTCTAAGAACATTTCGTGGTAGGACTATCGGAATGCCGGGACGGTCGGTCCCTGCTCAACACATCTGTTCAGGCATCTGGCCGGCAATCGTGAGGAAGCCTCAAGCGAGAGCCCACGTTGAAAAGCAGCCACCCCCGTGCATGGAATCAACTGTTGCACTCTTTAGACTCGTAGTGATGTGCTTGAAAGGTCGTTTCAGTGATTTCGTAGGGCGGAGGAGGCGACTCCCCGCGGGCACTGCGGCCCCAGGGGGCAGCACCGTCCACCCGGGAGGGCCGCGCTGAGCCCCTGCCTGGCCGCCAGCTCAGGCCGCGACCGCGGCCGACCCGCCTGCCGCCCGGCGGCTGCTCCGCCCTCGTGTTACAGTCAGGGCGTTGACCTAAGGAACCCTAAACAAGGAACGAGGCCCCTTTTTTCCATGAGTTAACCTTCGATTTCCGGTCGAAAACATCAGGAAAGCCTGAGGCAAGCTGCGAAACACTTAAGGAACGCGGAGCCCCTCCCCAACGAAAAGGGTTCCCTCTCCAGGGCCCCGACTGTACTTCGCGGCACACAACTGCTCGCTGCAAACGTTGAAGACGAATGCGCGTGGCGCGGAGGCGAGGGCCCCCTTTGTTGAACATGCACTGGCCTCCGTCCGTGCGGCTGCCGGGTGTGCAAACGTCAGGCCGCAGGGCAGCGGTGCGCCAGAAAGCCTCCATCGGCACGCCCAGGCTGGCCCGCGGACGCGCGACAGGGAGGAGCTCGGTGCTTTGGGAGCAGGTGCTAAACTTAAGTCGGGTCTGTTCCCCTACAGGCCGATTTTCGAGGAAAAATGAAAAATACCCCAAAAAACTCATAAATGATCAAAAATAATCAAAACATCGTCCACCGGCTATTTTTTACTATTTTTGAATAATCCCACTGTAGAGGGACAGGCGCGACTTCATGCTAGAACACACGGGAGAAATGCTGGAGGAGGGGGGGGCGGAGGAGGCGGCAAGGGAGCAGGGCGGCTCTCTCCTCCGCCCGCGCCCAGGCAACCCGCCGTCGCGGGCCCTGCACGGCGTGGACCCCCCGGAGGCCTGGGCCCCTTCCCGGGGGCCGACTTCTCGTCCCGAGCCCCTCTCGGAGACGGCCTCGCCTCCCGGGGGCCCCGGCGGCCGGCCCCTGGAGGCCGCCAGCCGTGCAAGAGCTGCCCGCCGTGGTCAATCTCCGCGGCGCGAGACCTGGGGGAGAGTTGACGCGGCCCCAGGACGGGGAGAAATTCGGGCGAGGGTGAATCGAGAACCCTCTGAGATCCCGCGGCTCTGGAGGAAGTCTCGGGCGCCCCTGGCCTTCTCAGAGCATTCCGGAACGCTCTGAGAGCGTTCAGGAACGCTCTGGAACGGATTTGTCCTCGCCCTGGCCCCGTCCGAGACACGCATGCTCCGAGGTCCGCGCGGGTGTCTTGGATCGGTACTTGGCCAGACATGACGCTTCTGCGGGGGAGCCTGCCCCGTCGCTGTCTCCGCTGGGAGGCCGCCACGAGGAGGGAGTGGCAGGGGGGGCGGAGGCAAAAGGTTTAACGCCTGGGTGGGGCGGGCAGCGTCGGCGCGGAGATCAGGGGGCCGCATGCGAACCCGACCCCTGCCCCCCACGACTTCTGAGGGCGAGGGTGGGGTTCACTTCGTTCGGGAGCTCCCGAGCGAAGTGAACCCCACCCTCCCCCTCAGGAATCGTGGGGGGCAGGGGTAGGGGTTCGCACGCGGCCCCCTAGAGATGCGCCGTGATCGCCACGGGACCCGCGCGCGCGCGGCGGGCGGCGCGGAGGGCGGGCCTCCCGCGCGCGGGAGCGCGAGCGCAGCGCCAGGAGCGACAGCGCGGGCGCCGCCTCCTGCCGGCGGGGCGGGCGGCGGCGGGGCGGGCGCCGCGGCCCTCCCGGGGGCTGCGGCCGCGCGGCCCCGGAGCTCGGAGAGCGCAGGGCCGTCGCGGCGCGCGGCGCGGCGCCCGCCCCCCCCCCCCCTCCCCCTCGGGGAGAAGGAGGAGGAGGAGGGAGGAGGAGGAGGAGGAGGAGGAGGAGGAGGAGGAGGAGGAGGAGGAGGAGGAGGAGGAAGGAGGAGGAGGAGGAGGAGGAGGAGGAGGAGGAGGAGGAGAGGAGGAGGAGGAGGAGGAGGAGGAGGAGGAGCAGGAGCAGGAGGAGAGGGGGGGGGCTGCTCGGACGCAGGCGACGTGCCTCCCCCAAATCCCCGACTTGGCGACGAAGGCTGAAGCCTCTCCGGCGTCTCTGTCCCGGCCCCCGGAGCTCTTCGACGAGAAGTGGGGCCTCTCGGCAGAGGAAAAAGAGCCCTCGGATGCACCCCCCCAAGGGGGGGGGCATTTTCGGACGCACCCCCCAATCGAGGAGGGACGCCCACCCCCCTCGTATGTCCCAGGGCTGGGCCCCCAAATGTCTGGCCCCTCCGAAAACCCCACGAAGCCTGGGGCGTGGGCCGACCTATCTCCTCGTGCTGTGGCTCTCTCTCTCTCTCTCTCTCACGGCGCGGCCGTGCTCCCCGAGCTCGGCGCGCCGTGCCGTCGTGGCTCGCGGCGCGTCGCTCGACCCCCTCCCCATCTGCTCAAGGATCCTCAGAACGCGTGTTGGGACGCGCAGAGACATGCAGACATGCTGGTACTAGACGTCCTCCCTGGAGGCGCGCGTCCGACCCGAACATGTCGTACACCCATCTTGTAGCGCATCGACGATGCATCGGCGACGTCGGCATCGAGAAAATCGGGCTCCGCATCAAGCCACATCGGCGATGCATCGGAGACGCGGCTCGATCCTCCGACCCCGTCTCCTCCGGCCCCATCTGGGAGGCCTAGACCATCGGCCTTCCCCGACAGGCCCTCCGCTGGCCTCCCCGACAGGCCCTCCCCCCCCCCCCCCCTGGCCGCCCACGATCGCCGCCCAGGCCTTCCGCCTCCGCCCCTGTCAGAGCGAGGCGGAGGAGCTCACACGCATGTTGGACTACCTTGAGGTCGGGCATGTCCTCCTACAGGCGGGCTTTGGAAGAACAATAAAAATCAGTTACAATAGATTCAAAAACAGTCGAAATAGTCCTAACATCGTTCCCTGATCTTTTTTTGACTGTTGCTCATTATTCCTCCTGTCGAGGGGCATGCCCGACCTAAGAATACCTACCAGACCACTCCAACCTGACCCGAAGACCCGAATTTCAGGTTGGGGGGGTACGGATTCTCACACGTATTGTCAATGTTCCACACACACACACACACACACACCACTGGCAATGGAGGGCAAATGGGGGCCCTCGGGTGGGGTCTTTTTTTCCACCCGAGTTTAGCTAGGTTTGTTGCTGCTGTTTCATGGATATGCTCGTCCTTTCGCCCTCACCAGAGGTGAGGGCGCCCACAAAGGCAAGGGGCGTGAGACGAACCCAGCGGCCCCTCGAGCGGTCCAGGAGGAGACGGCCACCGTCGAGGGGCCGACATCCAGGTACAGCAACCACTGTGCGGGAAAACTCCTGCTTCGAAGGCCCTCGGGTGGGCTCTTGGGGGTGGCTTGGTGGGTGGGCAGTGCCCTCGGACCAGCGTGGCCGGTCTTCACATCTCCATCCTGAGGGCTGCAGCCCTGCCGCCCCGCTCCCCTTGGGAGTCCCGAAACGGTGCGGTGACGGACCGTGCGGTGACCTCGAAATCCCCCAAGACCTCACCGCACGGTCCGTCACCGCACGGTTTTGGGACCTCGGAGGCCCCTGTCGCCCGAGACGTCCTCGGAGGACGACCCGAGTCCCAAAACCGTGCGGTGACCCCGAATCCCCATCGACTCACCGCACGGTGTGGTCACCGCACCGTTTGGGGGCCCCCCGGTCCCCCCTCCAGGGGGCCGTCCCCTCCGGGACGTCTTCGGCCCGCTCCGCTCCGCTCCGCTCCCGTCCCCATCCCTCGCCGCTTCCTCGTGCGAGCGCGGGGGGGGGGGCACGCGTGCCACCCGGTTGCCCACGCCCGCCCTCCCCGAGCCCTCGCTCTGGAGGCAGCGGCGGGCGAGGGGGGGAGACGAGAAGGAGAAAAAAGGCCTTCTCGGAAGGCGGCGGGACTTCTCAGAAGCACACGCGCCTTCTCTGAGAGGTCTTGCATGTCTTCGGGGAAGGCGTAGACAACTTCTGAGAAGGCCGGGGGGCGTCCGAGCCTTCTGAGAAGACCTTCTCCTTCTCACCTCCCCCCCTCGCTCGCCGCCGACTGGAGGCAGCGGCGGGAGTTGCGGCGGGGGCTGCGCCCGCGCAAGCTTGGACGCGCGTCATCGGCAGCAACCACGGCCACGACGACGACGACGACGACGACGACGACGACGACGACGTCGTCTGGAGGCTCCGCGAATTCTCGAGGCCCAGGAATCCTGAGCGTGCTCGACTGGCTGAGGGGTCTGAGCTGGCTGGACTGGCTTGGAGCCAGTTGGTGGCCAAAAGAGGCCCTAGAGGGCCCCTTTAGGGCCCCTTTCTTCACCCCCCATTTCGGTCACCCCCCATTACCACCCGCCCGACCCTACGTACGCTCATTACCGATACCCAGAGGGTGGCGCCGGGTAACGACCGTGTCCGTTTGCCCGCCCAAGATCAGCCAACCCGTGCACAGCCGAACGTGCACAACCACAGCCACAGCAGCAGCCCCCCTTCGCTTAGAGGCCTCCTAGATGGGGTCCGAGGATCGCCCCGCATCGACGATGCATCGGCGAGCCATCGCCGAGGCATCAGCGATGCATCGGCGACGTCGGCGATGCATCGGCGACGTCGGCGTGGAGAAACGCGGGCTCCACATCAAGCCCTATCGGCGATGCATCGGCGATGCGGCGCGATCCTCCGACCCCATCTACTCCGACCCCATCTGGGAGGCCTAGATGCGAGCCGGAATTTATCCATATCCACCGCCTGGGAACCGACATCCTGGTACCCCGGCGGGCGGTGGATATGGATATATGTCGGCCCCCGGGGGCTGCGAAAACTGACCCTCCAGGCGGTGGTCGTGTACAAATTCCCGCCTCGGATTGATCGCTCTTGCTAACAAGTATCACACACACACACACGAAGTCGCACCCAGACGGCGCATTGGCAGAGCAGAGCTACGAACTCACACATGCGGGAAAACTGCCCCGAAATCCCGATGAGTAGTGAATCGCTTGGCCACCAGAGAAAGCAGAACCACGACTTGAAGATGTATCGGCGCGAACCTCCGAGCCCCAGCGCCCTAACGTCCGCGGGCACGAGCTGCGCCTGATTCAAGCAGCGCCCGCTCGGACCTTAGCCGGCCGTGGCGACGAGGGCCTCCCAAGAGGCCCAGGGCGAAAACGAGGGCAACGTAGCGGGCGACGGCAGCGGGAAAGACGGCGGAGACAGCTGAGACAGCTGGACTGCCCGATGTACCCCCTAGTTGGGGATACGTGCTGCTCCCCTCGTGTTTCGCGCGGCCCATCCCCGACGGGGGGGTGAGATGGTGGGGCTGAGATACCACGGCCAGTGTGGATGAAGATCGGCTACGGCCGGGAAGTTTCCCTTAGCGTGTCGCGACGGCGACCCTGGCGACACGCCATGCCCTGCAAGCGAATGGCGTGTCGCTCTGCTCCGCGGAGCAGGAGGCTGGGAAGCTGAGGACGTTGACACTCGGGGACTGGGAAATGGATATCGTGCCGCGCCGAAGAGTGGTGGGCCAGCACGGGCGGAACGACATACCAACCCAGAGGGTCCGCGGACCCGTGTGATGGGTCTGCCCAAGAGTCGGACTCGTTTAATGGGACCAGGTCCCAAATTGCGCTTCATGTTCGGGAGGGGCCATACATGAGCCCGTGCAGACTCCAGAGCGGGCCCGACCCATCAATGGGCCATGCTCTTCAGTATCCCGTTCGCGGACAGGACTCCAGAACCCCGAGGCGCACTGGATGTGGATAAAACAGTCTGGCCCCTATAGAGGCTCGATTTTTGCCCAGATCCAGTGCGCCTCGGCCTTGCGGTGCCCCTTCCAAGACAGTCCAAGACGCACTGGATATGATTGCCCGCGACTTAGATTCGGGAACTTCTGGTGGACCGAAAGCTCCCGACCGCAGACGACACCTTGGAAGCAACTCGCGGGAGGTCTCCGTCTGAAGCATCGGGGAGAATGAAGAAGCCCCACTGAGAGGGGCTGCTGCGCTGCATTGGGCCGCGGAGGAAGCAGGATTCGGCGGGACGGAGCCGGACGAGGCGGCATTGAGCCGTACCAGGCTGGATTTCGGATCAGGGCGCAGTCCGCCAAGATCTCCGACGACGTGGTATCCTGCCAATCCTCCTCGATCCTCCTCCTCCTCGATCCTTCCTCCTCCTCCTCCTCCTCCTGCTCCTGCTCCTCCTCCTCCTCCTCCTCCTCCTCCTCACCCCTCCTCCTCTCTCCTCCTCCTCCTCCTCCTCCTCCTCACCTCCTCCTCCTCCTCCTCCTCCTCCTCCCTCCTCCTCCTCCTCCTCCTCCTCCTCCTCCTCCTCTCCTCCTCCTCCTCCTCTCCTCCTCCCCTCTCCTCCTCTCTCCTCCTCCTCCTCCTCCTCCTCCTCCTCCTCCTACCTCCTCCTCCTCCTCCTCCTCCCCTCCTCCTCCTCCTCCTCCTCCTCCTCCTATCCTCCTCCTCCGCCTCCTCCTCCTCCTCCTCCTCCTCCTCCTCCTCCTCCTCTCCTCCTCTCCTCCTCCTCCTCCTCCTCTCCTCCTCCTCCCTCCTCCTCCTCCTCCTCCTCCTCCTCCTCCTCCTCCTCCTCCTCCTCCTCCTCTCCTCCTCCTCCTCCTCCTCCTCCTCCTCCTCCTCCTCCTCCTCCTCCTCCTCCTCCTCCTCCTCCTCCCCCCTCCTCCCTCCTCCTCGCGGGAGCTGCGTCCGAGCGACGCTGCACGGCGGGAGACGGCGGCCGCCCCTCCTCGGCGCGCTGGCCCCAGCGCCGCGCCGCGAGCTCCGCCGCCTGCCGCGCGAGCCGGTAGCCCCTGCCGCGTGGGAGCGGGGGCCGCCCCGCGAGCCCGCTCCTCTGCCGTGCGCGATGCCGCGGGGGCAGGTCCGGAGCGAAAGCCCTCCGCGAGAAGCCCAGGCCCTGAGGCCCCAGGACGTCCACCGACTTCTTCGGCGCGGGGACGCCGTACGCTTCCCCTCGCGAGGCCGTCGAAGCGCGAGAAGCCCAGGGCACCCTGGAGGCAAGCAGGGCGCTTCTTGGCACGGGTCTCCACTGCAACGGCACGCGACCGGCCCCGCCCGGGATCTGCTCTTTGGGTTTTCTGCGCCTGGGGGCCCTCGCTGGGCCCCTGGGCCTCCCTGGGCCTCCCAGCCTCAAGAGAAACGGCTCGGGATGAACTCTCCGTCAGCGGCGGGGCAGCGAAGCTGCCCCGGCGGGCGGCGATCCGGGGCGACCGAAAGGCGAAGTGGCTGGCGTGCAAGAGGGGGAACAAGGGGGCAGGGGCGGCCGCGCTCGGGATGAGCACACGGCAATGGCAGGGGGTCGAGGTCCCCGAGAGCCCACGTCAAGAACCACAGACAAAGCGCGACGTCGGTGGGGAAGGGAGACTCTTGCGCAACACTTCCTGCTATTCGCGATGACGCCCGTGACCGGCACCGCCCTGCCACCCTCCCTCCCCTTCCTCCTGTAGAAAGACATGCCCGACTCGATCCTGGACCTCAGAACCGTGCACCTTTGGCTCGCCCTCCCCCTCGTCAGGGCAAGAGGTGGCCACCCCCCGTGGCACGCCCGAAAGAGGTACCGAAAAAGTGGGCGCCATGCCAACTAGCAAAGGCTGCCCAAAACCGACAGCGGCTGCTGTTGGGCATGCGACGCCTCGACGCAAATGGACCACGTCCGCGGTGACGCCGACAGCGAGTCCTGCTCAAAAGCGGGCCCTCGTCCCCGACCTTTCCGTAGCCACTTCGATCGCACCGAAGCAACCGACTCGGGCAGCAGTGGATATGGACATATGCCCGCCCAGGCGAGCGGACAGATGCCCATCTCCACCGCTCCTGAAGACCCCAGGGCCCGCCTCCGGAGCGGTGCATACGGACGCAGTCTGGCGGTGGAACCCTTGGCTCGCACTCCCCCTCGCCAGGGCAAGAGGTGGCCACCCCCTCCGCGGACGTCTCGTGTCCTGTTGCTTGCCAACATGACAAGGGGCCCTGGGACACACAAGACGGATAGGCCCAGCTCCCAGGATTCCCCAGATTCTCCCACATCTCCTGGGTCTTCGTCTTCCCCCCCACATCCGATGGTTTCCCATATTTCCTGGGCGTCAGCGGTTCATTGTGTCTGCGCGTGTGTTTTCCCAACCATCCTGTGGTGTTGGGCCCTCGTTTTGAGATAGCGTCCGCGTCCTCCTTCCTTCCTTCTCCTCCCGCTGCCTCCCCTCCTCACCCTCCTTGCCTCTGTCCCTTGCATGTCTCTGTTTCGGCACACCCTCCACACGATTCGTGGCCCCATGGGGAGCTCCACCAAAGGCCCCAGTGGCAAAGTTCGCATGCAGTTCCAACCCCATTTCGGCGCACCCCTCACACGGTTCGTGGCCCCATGGGGAGCTCCACCGAAGGCCCCAGCGGCAAAGTTCGCATGCAGTTCCACCCCATTTCGGCGCACCCCTCACACGGTTCGTGGCCCCATATGGAGCTCTACTGCAGGCCTTAGTGGCAAAGTTCGCATGCACTTCCACCCAATTCCGGCACACCCCTCACACGGTTCGTGGCCCCATAGGCTCCACCGAAGGCCCCAGTGGTAAAGTTTGCCCATTTCGGCGCACCCCTCACACGGTTCGTGGCCCCATGGGGAGCTCCACCGAAGGCCCCAGTGGCAAAGTTCGCATGCAGTTCCACCCCCGCTTCGGCGCACCCCTCACACGGTCGTGGCCCTATGGGGACTTCCACCGAGGGCCCGAGTGGCAAAATTCGCATACAATTCCACCCGCGCACCCCTCACACGGTTCGTGGCTCCATAGGTAGCTCTGCTGCAGGCCTCAATGGCAAAGTTCGCATGCAGTTCCACCCCCGCTTCGGCGCTCCCCTCAAACGGTTCGTGGCCCCATAGGGAGCTATACAGCAGGCCCCAGTGGCAAAGCTCGCATGCAGTTCCACCCCCGCTTCGGCGCACCCCTCGCACGGTTCGTGGTGGTTCGTGGCCCCATGGGGAGCTCCACCGAAGGCCCCAGCGGCAAAGTTCGCATGCAGTTCCACCCCCGCTTCGGCGCACCCCTCACACGGTTCGTGGCCTCGTGGGAGCTCCACCGAAGGCCCCAGTGGCAAAGTTCGCATGCAGTTCACCCCATTTCGGCGCACCCCTCACACGGTTCGTGGCCCCATGGGGAGCTCCACCGAAGGCCCCAGTGGCAAAGTTCGCACGCAGTTCCACACCCGCTTCGGCGCACCCCTCACACGGTTCGTGGCCCCATGGGGAGCTCCACCAAAGGCCACAGTGGCAAAGTTCGCATGCAGTTCCACCCCCGCTTCGGCGCACCCCTCACACGGTTCGTGGCCCCATGGGGAGCTCCACCGAAGGCCACAGTGGCAAAGTTCGCATGCAGTTTCACCCTCGCTTCGGCGCACCCCTCACACGGTTCGTGGCCCCATGGGGAGCTCCACCGAAGGCCCCAGTGGCAAAGTTCGCATCAGTTCCACCCCCGCTTCGGCGCACCCCTCACACGGCTCGTGGCCCCATGAGGGGCTCCACCGAAGGCCCCAGCGGCAAAGTTCGCATGCAGTTACACCCCCGCTTCGGCGCACCCCTCACACGGTTCGTGGCCCCAAATGGAGCTCTACAG